TGGATTATTCTCATTTTAATTGATGAAAAAAAATATGTTTTAAAGGAAAATACAATGTGTGTTTTGTAAATATTAAGGTAGTTCCGTATCAAACTGAATGATTTCCAAAGCACACGAATTTCTCCACAATTTCTTATAGCCTTTTATAGCCAATGGCGATAAAGTGTAAAGCCCGGCCATAGGAACTATAGCCCGACTTTTTTATAGCTTCGTATAGCCCGGCTATATGATTTGCTCCGCTTTCTACAGCCAGCTATATGATTTTCAATAGCTTTCTTTAGTCGGCTATAAGAACTCCTATGGTATTTTGAAACGCAGCTCCTATCGCCAATTTTTACCAGGAGATAGCCGATCAATCAGAGAGCGGCACACTTTTTCTGTAGTAAAAGGATTGAGAAGGCAATACTCTCTTGGATACAGGTACTTTAAACCAAAGCGCCTACTCAGGAGGAGACGGGAGTCGTTTCCGGACGTCGCACAGTGGATCGAGTCAATTAGAGAGGTCGGACGTGAAATTTCTGACTAAAACTGCCAATTTTGATGTTTATTTCGTCACATTTTAACTTTCAATGGGTGTTTCTAGAAGAAATTTTCACGATAAAACCAACGAAACCACTGTTGGAACCTCAAAGATTTGTATAATAGACGTTATAAGCGTTTAAAGTTTCCGAATTTTGTCCGACCTCCCCTATTGACTCGATCCAATGTGCGTCGGAGGAGGAGCAGCTCTAGATCCTCGCTGGGGCCGGGGCATCATCATCCACGGGCGACCCGCTGAAATGCGCGGGTCGTCGACCGCGCATCATTTTCGCACGGCGCGGTCGCGACTCGCAGTCTCGTGGCCCGACATCGACAGCCGGAGCCGATACCCACCGACCGGAACCGGGAAACGGTCCGACGCGCGGTGCGGCGGGCGCGGTCGGGTCGACGCCAAGAAGATCGCGCCTCGGTCTCTGCACTTCGCTTCTTCGGGCGGCAGACGATTCAGTGTCAAGGTCAGCCGCCGTCGGCGTCGCCGGAAATGTGCTTGTTCTCGGCCTCTCGTTTCCGTTCGAGCTCGTACGGATGAGACTGTCACCAACTTGGGAACAGCGAGAGGAGAAAAGTTGCCATCGTTCGAAGAAGGGTGTCCCATGTTTGAACGGACATTCTGCTCCATTCGTGAAAATGAGACGTTTTTCCGTCTATGTGGTTTGGGTTTTTCCAAAAGTGCCCCTCTCACTGAAAAAAAAAATTTCGGTGTATTTACTAAGAAAATGGTAAAATTATCAAGAATTCAGGGTTCTATTTGATCCCAGTTTTTTCTTGGTAAAATTACCATTTATGGAATTGGTAATTTTACCGAGAAATCTCGGCAAAATTATTGAACTTTCTCGGTAATTTTACTGGACCTTGGTAAAAACGCCAATATTTTTTATCGACTACGGTAGAATTACCGAGATAAAATGGCAAAGTTACTGATAATTGATCACCAATAAAAGTGGTATTCTTACCTGATAAAAACAGTAAAAATACCAGTTTTTAGGTAAGTTTACCAGTCTAGCTTGGTAAAATTACCAATAATTGGTAAAAAAAAGTGAGATGGTAAAGGTACCAACGAACCTTGGTAATACGCCGAGAATTTTTTTTCAGTGTAGGAGGGATGCAGGTAATGCCCGACCTCGTGATCCTCGGATCGTGGCAAACCCGCGGCAAATCTTGAGGATGTAGGCAATTTAAACAAATGATCATTCCTTTTATATTTCCCCTTTTGGGAGAGGAGGGGGGTCGCTACCTCGAAAAAGGGGGACGTATCGACGTGTCGCACACTTGACCTCCGCTTGCTCCGGAAGAAGCAAGCTTGTCGGTGTTTGAATCTGTGCCGAACCCAAGAGCTTTTTTGAAGTTTCGGCAACTATGCTGGAAAAAGTTCCGATCCGAGAGCACGAGCGGATTGCGGCGTCATAATGCAGTGCCGGGCCGGCCGGCGAGCTCAATTATGACGCCTCGCTCTGCTGCGCCACGTTGGTCGAATCGGGCAACCAGCTCTGAGCTCTGGTGCATTCGGAGGAAAAATATCTTCGGGACGCCGCGCAGTGTAGCGAGTCAGCGAAAGCTCTCGGACAAAATGCGAAAAGTTTAATAGCCTACATCTTCGTTAATACACACACTGAAAAAAAAATATCGGTGTATTTACTTAGAAAAGAGTAAAATTACCAAGAATTCAGGGTTCTATTTGATCCCAGTTTTTTCTCAGTAAAATTGTCATTTATGGAATTGGTAATTTTACCAAGAAATCTCGGTAAAATTGTTGAACTTTCTCGGTAATTTTACTGGACCTTGGTAAAAACACCAATATTTTTATCGACTGTGATAGAATCACCGAGATAAAATGGCCAAGTTGCCGGGAATTGATTACCAATAAAAGTTATATTCTTACCTGAAAAAAAAACAGTAAAAATACCGGTTTTTAGGTGAGCTTACCAGTCTGTCCTGGTAAAATTACCAATAATTGGTAAAAATAGTTAGATGGCAAAGGTACCACGGACCGTGGTAAAAACGCCGAGAATTTTGTTTCAGTGCAATTTAGAGCATGAATAAATAGCGCCATTGGATTGCTCGCAAAATTCCCACTAGAACCCAGCCCTTAAAATTACAATGTGACAAAATGAATATAAAAAAATTTGTAGCTGCTATCAAAAATTTTTAATCCGACCTCTGTCTTTGATTTGCTCCACTGAGCGCCGACGGCTGCACTGATGATTGTCCGTGAGCCAAGAAGCCTATGTTCGGGGATGCCTCTGAAATACTGAGGATGATTATGAGCAACAAATTTGGCCATTTTATTTACAAATCGGACCCTATTTTCAAATGCAGGCTCCCAAAGTATAACTACTTGAAACAATGTAGGCATCATTCCACAGAAATGGATCGAGTTGCGCATCAAGGAGAAACGCATCAAGTCGCATTTTGGAAGAAAATAGTTAGGAGTAGTCTTGAATTCAACAAGTTATAAATTTTCTACTAATATAATTCTGGGTTGGGGAAAAGTATTTTGAACATGGAAATAATGGAGATGTTGCATGTTCAGGGCCGGATTAAGGCGGTGGCCACATGGGCCGCGGCCCATGGCGGCAAATCTATGGGGGGCGGCAAATTTTGCAATTTTTTTAATTATAGGTATAAAAAAATCGGATTTAGAAAAAAAAATTACATACGAGAGAAAGCGATAAAATCTCTCATTTCCTGAGAATATAATATTTTCTGAATTTGTCGTCTTTCAGAGATACAAGAGACAGCACCTTTAATTATTCAAGTTAAGAGAGAAACCAAATCGTTAAAACACACAATTTGGCCCGGAACGGCGCGACTCAGAGAGAAATGATGACGAGGACTTGAGATGAATAGGAGAAACCCTCGGTGCAGCGATCGGCATGCAACACATATTAGCGCCTACAAGACTGCGCGAATACTTCACGCATTGCATCAAACAGAGTGCGGTCATTGCGGTCAGCGTAAAACGGATAGCGCCTACAAGACTGCGTGAATACTTCACGCATTGCGTCAAACACAGTGCGTTCAGCAGCGGTCGGCGTGAAACTCACAGCGCCTACATGACTGTCGGATTACTTCACGCATTGCGCCAAACACGGTGCGGTCAGCGCGGTGCGGCGGCGGAAGTTAAAATCATTAATCCACATTTATGTTTGTTCTTTCATAATTTTTTCATTCATTTCTTATGAATGGGAGGCCTTGTCCACACAGAGATAGGTTTACGAAACTTAACTTTTGCACAAAGTTCCATGAACTTTTGCTAGTAGTGTTGACGGGGCTTTCGCAAAAAATGTGCCCAACACGAGTAAACGCGTCTTATGCGCCCCTCCCCCACTGGCACGTTCATTTGATGGTTTTTATTGATGTTTCAAAACTAATGAGAAGGGGGCGGCAAAATACAGGCGGCTCATGGGCGGCAAGTAGGTAAATCCGGCCCTGTGCATGTGTGAGGAATTTGCGATTTAACAATTAATTCTTATGCAAAAGTTCGCGAGAAACACGATGGTGCCACTGGTTTTCTCTGAAATCATCTCCCAAGATAAAAAAAAGTTCTCAAGTTGAGGTCAAACTGGAGGGGATATCCCACGCTATCCTGAGAGCCCACCTCTAGATCAAGACAAACTCTCCATGCAAAGATAGAGAGCAAATCCATTCACAGGGCTACCACTTTATTTGGGGACTCTAAAACTGAAACTTTGGCATCCCTGCTAATGTATTTGCTCCCTATCTTTGCATGGAGAGTTTGTCTTTATGTAGAGGTGGACTCTTAGGATAGCGTGGGATATCCCCTCCATTTTGGCCTCAACTTGAGAGCTTTTTTTGAGCTTGGGTGTTGATCAATGGAGTTGTTGGATGTGTGAGGAATTTGCGATTTGACCGTTGATCCTTTTGTAAAAGTTCGGTGTTGATTTCAGAGAAAACCAGTGTGATTCTCGCGAACTTTTACAAAAGGATCAACGGTCAAATCGCAAATTCCTCACACATCCAACAACTCCATTGATCAACTTTGTCTTAAACTTAAAGTTTCATGGAGGACTAAAGTATCAAAGCAAATTTGATTCGTCTTGCAATGATAACTCTGTCCAAGTGACAGTTACTTTCCTCCAGAACATTTCCGAAAGGAATTTTACTGACCGAAATCGAATGAAAAGCCATGTGGACTAACAGCAGGAGGAGGATACGTCATTTATTTTCGAAGAACTACTTTTTGGGTTGAGTATTTGCCCAAGTGCTACTGCATAATTTTTCATGATTGTATACCTAAATTTGTAAGCGAAATTTGGAATTATTTCGGAAGAAAGGTGACCCTTTGACCTAATTATTTTATCTTTTGATTGTTTCTTTCTTGCTTGACCTCGATGAAGAAAAAACTGGTAACCTCATAAAATGTCGTCAATTTCGTCGGTTAAATCGGTCGAATTTCTCATGTCAATTATGCTCATTTTGGTTTTGCTTTTTTTGTCCAGGTCCCTACGCTCCAGGATGTGTCGATATCATGACAGAATACTCAAAAGAGGGTTGTTTCGTTAGATTTTACTATCCAACCAACATCCCCATAGGTGATATAAAGGTAAAGATTCAAAAAAATTATCCATGTCATAAGATTCAATTTAATACCCGACAGAAGCCAGAACATATGTGATAAATTAGTGTATTTTCGTGGGAAAATACACTAAAAATCAAAGCAACGAAGACATGTTTCCTTATACTCGTAAAAACTGGACGCAGAGCTCGCTAGACTCACGATAATTCATTAATTCATTAATTTGTGAAAATGATCTCATGAACCACGTAACGCTCCCAAAATACAACTAAGGGTCCAGTTACACGATCAAATTGAGCCATCAAATGGGGCCTCTCATTGGTCGCATCCTCACCTCAGGTCTTTTTTCACCAATCAGAGCTTCAGTTTGATGGCTCAATTTGATCGTGTAACTGAACCTTAAGCGGAAAGAGGCCTCATCGACACAGTAAGAAACATCGATCATCTTTTTCAAGGGGGAAAGAATGAGAAATCCTGCACCGAAGGAATACTCTGAATCAGGGTGATTGCAGCTCAATATTCCGCCTTCATTCTAGGAGCGAGGCAATTAGCGTGACTTTCTTTTACGTTCGAGTAGTAGTAATTAAGTGCACGATGTATTTTGTCTCCTTTGGGAAGCCTCAATCGATAGCCTGCCAAGGGATATGATTGATGTATAACGTTTTTTGTAACCCTATCATCAGTATTGTTGCGGTAATTTATTTAACCTCCGATTAATTAACTTCCACGAAACGTTTGATAGTAAATGTTGCCAGGTTGACTTATTTGTCGGGACAATCACGGACGATCTAAAGGCCAAATTTTTTATCAAGTAAACTTAAAACTGTCCATAGAGTGGACAACGTCAGTCGTGATCTCAATTCCCTGCCTAGGCTCTTTCCTTGTACTCCTCAAATGAGGCATCGAGAGGCAGAAGCTGAAATCTCCATTCCTCCGTTGAAAAATTTAGTGTTTTTGTTCGTTTTTTAAAGGGATTGACCAATATAAATTCTTGGGTAAAATACTGTCATAATTTTTTCGCGAATACGTAGGAAGTTTTTGAGAAAATACATATACCCAATCAGAGGCTCGCTGACTCTCTTCGCAATGAAGCCAAATAATGGGCCAGTAGCGCTGGTCACATGCAGAATCGTGTTGCGATGTTTAATTTTTATACAGATCAGCTAAAAATAATAAGATCTGTCCAAGCAGCAACTCTTTGCGTTCAACATGAACCGAGATATTGCCCTTTAAAAAGTCGGGTTTTAGACGTCAACCACCGCGGTAGTGACACCCTTGCTCGATTTCTTCCACCTTCCTTTCATCATCAGTTGGTGTAACGCACATCTGCACTGGTTACTCAGTGTATAACTCGGATGGATAACTTGGGTTATACTTGGACCACATTTTGCAATAAGGAACCACTTTTTGTGACTCATTTTAGAAACAACATATGCGCTATTGCTTTCCTTGTGCAGAAAGGTGCTTTTATGGAGGAGCCAGAGATAGTGGTTCCTTATTGCAAAATGTAATCCACTTGAACGTATAGAGAGTTGCTGTTTGGACAGAAGATATTATGATTGATGCTCCGCAGCCCGTGACAAGATATACAATAATAAAACAATTTAAAAAGCGGGCAACAAGGCTAATTTGCATGAATAAAACCAAAACGTTTCGGCTGACAACTCAGCTTTCCTCAAGTTTTCATAACAACATTATTGCTTTGAAAGGTATAGCCAAGCACTATGTTAGATTTTTACAATTTTTCTTTTCACCACTTTATCCAACCGAGGAAGACTGAGTTTTCAACCGAAACGTTTTGGTTTTATTCGTGAAAATTAGCCTTGCTACCTGATTTTTAAATTGTTTTATTATAAATTGGATATATATTTTTTATAGCTAATCTACAAGAATCAAGCATCGAAACACGATTATGTGACCAGCGCAACTGACCCATGCCGATTGTTCAAACAAATTCATGAAATGAAGTTTGCAGCTTTCGATTTAAACACTCGGCGCTTCACATAATCTTCGCAGCTCGTTTCTGTGCGACGAGTTTTTGCTCCGCATCCTCACCAAAGAAAGAGTCTTCCCACATCTTCCCTCATTATGTTCCGTTACGAACGGTTCCCGAATCCTGCCCGCGAAAAGCTCAGTCATCGGCCATCAGCATCTACGCGCTCGTCAAGTCGCAGTCGGATTTTTAGGTCGTCGTTGAGGATTTAAGAGCAGTCAAAATCTGAGTTTGCTGTGTAGAGGAGGCTGAGGTGGCGCAGCGCACAATGGAGCTCTAGAGCTTGTCAATGGGATATCCGTCGGACTGAGTGTGGAAGTTTTACTAGCTCAGATTTTTTTCGATACTAAACGTAGGAGTTTGAAAGTGGCTCCATTGGTTTTTTCGCAAAACTTTCACTCAGAATCCCACCTCAGAGGCGGATGCAGCAATTCGGCAACACCGGATTTCCTCCATTTAAATCTATGTTAAATAATCGATTCTTGTCAGAGCACCTGGCCCCTATAAGAATCGATACATTTTCATAGGTTTAAATGGGGAAAAACAATGTTGCCAATTTGCTGGATCTGCCAATGTCCCGCTTACGTGACAGAGTGAACTTACCTTGGAGGGGTATCGATGAGGGTTGTCTTTTGGCCTCTCCTGAATTCTTTCAACCATACGATTTTTTGCTCTATGGCTTCTATTTTTAAGGTATTTTTTTTTACAAAATATATCATGATTTGGTGATTTTTGGTCTATTTCTGGGTCTAATTTTGACGTGAACATGGATCCAAAGACTAATTTTAACGAAAACTGCGAGTTTTGCGGGACTGCAATCGAATGCGGAAAATTCCTCTCTTTTTTGCCAAAATTGGGTCCCAGCGGACCGATCATTGAAATTGATAGACAAAGCTACAGACAATGAAGACATAGGAAAAATGGAGCGATCCCATTGGTTGGAAAGGGTAGTTGTCATAGACTCACTATAAGGTGTAAATGATGGATTAACTATAGAGTCTCCCGCGGGTCGCCGTTAGTTAGCCTATCACTGACCTCCTTTGCCCATTGCAACCATCTACTTCCACCGATAGGATCGCTTTACTTTCAGTGTGTCGTCTTAGTCTATCGCTTTGTCTATCAATTTCAATAATCAGCCCGCGGACCCATGTTTAAGTCAGTAGTATCTCATCGTCAGAAACGAAACCGAATATGACCTAATAATTATGCATACTGTAGACCTTCAATGAGCAAGAATCGTGGAGTTGGGAAAATTCACCCAGGGTGGATCTAAAAACGGCCTTTATCGACATACCTTTCCTTTGCAGTTACAGTAAACAATTTCGTACCAAAGACTGTAGTTCCACTGTGCGGCGTTCGCATGATTTACCGTCAGTCAGCTCTCGAAGTCATGTTTACCAACTTGCGGTCTGCAGGTGGGTCAAGTGAGATGGGGAGAGATAGAAGGGACGTGCTTCGAATCTGGCTCCCGCTCATTTTGCGGTGTGTGGACCGCTGCCGTAATACTTGGGCGGTTATTACAGTGTCGGTCATTTATTTTCAGTGAGTCGTCTTAGTCTATCGCTTTATGTCTATCAATTTCAATAATCAGCCCGCAGACCCATGTTTAAGTCAGTATTACCTCATCGTCAAAAACGAAACCGAAATTGGCGTTTTGATGGTTGAGTCTCACGGATTAGCAAAGAATAACGAAATTTATTGGGTCCATTGCAAACCTCAAATTGGAAAGTCTAGAACTTAGTTTTTCATAAGAAAATGCAGGGGTTACGCAAGCCCTACACGCCTTCTGGTCACTACGCTACGTGGCCTAACCTTCAGGGGACGCCTCGCCCTCTCGTTATTTTAATTTAAATCAGTCAATCAATCTAAATCAGTTCTGCGATCTATCAACCCCTCCATACCTCCTTAAATCGTCTCCTGAAGTAACTTAAGTCTATCTGGGTTGTTAGATCTATCGATCGTGAGTGAGGGTGATCAATACAGAACTATCCCAATTAATCTTGGATGCCATAAAACTGCGGAGAGAGTGATAGAATCAGCTGTCCGCCAGTCAAGAACGACTATTCAGGAATGTTTTGTCATAAAACCGAACGTTGAAGGATACGTCATGCCGCCTCTCTCTATTAAAACCGTCTTTTTTGCGGATCGTTCAAGTCTTCGCTTCTTTGACGTAGTTTTCTCGTGAGCCCTAGATGCCCCACTTTCATACGGACAAGAGAGTTCATGTGAAAAAAAGGATATATCTGCCCCTTTGCGTCTGCGGAGTGACGGAGTGTGTCAGTCTTTTTCTCAGCCTCCTTAATCACTCAACCGATTTTCGTTTCAGAGAGTAAATTAATGATCTGTGAAGTAATCAATTTATTTACTGATACTAAAAAGAAAAAAAAGTTGTCCCTAAAAAACTCAATATTGAAATAGTTCTTTCAAGTTTCAAATGTATTTGTAATAATGAAAAGGAGTATGAGAAGGAAATCAACTAAATAAATTTAGTAAAAAACATATTAATATAGAAACAACAAAGAATTCAGTACACTGCAGGTATGATTTCTATCAGCGAATGTGAGAGTCAGAGAAGATTTCACAGGACGGAGATATTTTCGTGCATAGCTTATAACGGGGAATTCATATTATCCGAGTTGTTTCAATATCTTCGGCTGTGTTGCTCACGTAGCCCTCAACGCATCACTACAAATAAGACAAGCGGAAACGAATACAATGTGGAATTAGAACAAGGGAAAGGATGCGCATTTATGACGGCGCGGCGCAGAGATACAACTATTCGTGCTTGATGGACGTCCGTGTTGCATCTGAGAAATTGAAGGCGCTATGGCGCGAGGCGTGAATTTGCAGTGTTCCGCTCTATGCTACCAATGAAAATGAGGTTCAACTCAGATTTGGGAGAAAAGTCCAAAAATGAGGCACAATTACGCCCCTCCTATCTTTGGCTGTATTGCTCACGTAGCTATTGAAGCATTACTACAAATTAGACAAACGGATACAACAGCAATATGAACACAGGGCAAGGGATTGAATGCGGTTAATGCAGGCGCAGAGATACAACTATTCGCGCTTGATGGATGTCCGTGTCGCATCTGCAAAATTGAAGGCGCGATGACGCGAGGTGTAAACTCGCAACGTTTCGCTGTATGCTGCATTGCTGTCAATGAGGTGTTTCTCAGATTTTGGAGAAAAGTCAATATAAAAGGAGCAAGAAGAGAGTAGCGGTTTTTCTCCTATCAGTTAAAATAAAACTTTCCTTTCATAGTAAATGCATTTTAGCTCTACACACACTGGTACTTTATGCACGTAGTTTAGGATTAGTGACCTAGTATGATCCCAAAGGGATCATACTAGGTCACTAATCAGGGTCACTAGGGGGTTTTGATCCCATAGGGAACTAAACTAACCGCGTGACAAAACGATTTACTAACTGAGACAAGTGTAAGCCACTTCCTAATCGCCTGGAACATGAATATTGTAAATAAGGTTTCTTATGTTCCACAATTTTAGTAAAGATTTAGAAAATATTTTAGTGCGTTTAATAGTGCACTACTTGTAACTTCAGTCCATACAAGTCAATTTGACGGAAATATTTTGTTTACATAACCGATTAGTGCACTAGGCGAATAGCTTCATCATGACATGAAGGTAGTTGTTAATATTAGAGGCAGGCAATGCAACGCTAATCAAAGTTAATTTTATTCGAGTCTGTAAACTCGCGGAAGATTCGGCGTTTAATCTCGTGGCATTGACCTCACGACTGCGTTGACCTGCGCCCGTCGGCAAAGAAAGGTTATCAACAATGATACAAGTGAGCACTTGCTTGCACTTTCTGTCGATAAAAAATAACTTTTTTCTGTCGCTCAGCGGATGCACAACATTACACACAGTGGCGTGGCGTGAATGATCGATTATCGATATTTCTCCATTTGGAGCTATGGTAAAGAATCGATTATTATGGTGTTCGCTGCGAACACCCTGTTTATCGATCTTTTTCTATAGGTTTGAATGACGGATATACCGATATATCGCAAAGCACGCCACGCCACTGATTACACATTGAGAAAAGAAGGTTCACACGCGAGGTAAGTAAGTGAGACGAGGGTATGCTCCTTCGATACAGACCACCCAAAAAATCGTAAACGATCGGTTGCGTTAGTTTCTTCTCAATCTGTACGGGAAATTTGCGCATTAGGGAAATAGTACCAAAAAGAATAGAATATTGCAGAGCTGTAACTCGCCTCGTGGAAAAGAGGACCTATGAGAATCGATTTTCCAGACTCGGAATCCTGCTTCTGTTTCAAATTTCTCGCAAAGGCTGAGACGAAACGAATGCGTCTAACAATGAGCGCTCTGTTGTTTTTAAGTGTTATAATATGGAAAAAGTAAGCATTATGTTACTTACACTGTTAAATAAAATGCGATTCAGTGGGCGTGGGCCCTCTTCTCCGTGCCTCTGTTAATTTTACACGTATTTTTAATATCAAATGGCTGTCCTGTTCCAGAAAGAACAATCAAGATGGGTCCGATGGATGCCACATCCCAACTATGAGGAAGGTTTCGCGTCTGTAGTCAGTCTATGGCTCTCAGTGCTCAAATGGGCCATCTGGTTCTTTTCCGGTGAGTTTTCATTCCTTTTCTTTTATTCAAAACTCTAGGTAGCTCGAAAAGTTATTCCAGGAAAGAGGGTTTTTCAACTTAAATTTGTGGTTACTTTAACCAAAAGATTTGTCCGGTTTAAAGAAATGAACCCAGAACTTGTGCTCTCCTTTCCATATTGATACAACATTTTGGTTACTTTTTTATACTGAGCGGGAAGCCGGAGTCAAAAAATATTCAGCACCATGTTAAACATTTTAAAATATCATGGTAAATTCATGAAACCAAGTTTTGCTCCTCTCTTTGCGACTCATATTCAATTCGATACGAAGAGGAACGTTTGCAACTTTAACTGACTCATAGCCCAGCCTAAATGGACCTATTATCGTCGCTCCTCTGACGGAAGGGCGTAACTCGATTTCCACGTGAGCCCTGTTGTCCATATAACTTCATGCTCTCCAGGGCTCATGTCGAAATCGAGATACGCCCTTACGTCGGAGGAGCGACGTTATACTCCGCGGCCGTAATTACGGCGATAAAACGGAGTCTCGACAGTAGTGGCGAGCCGTGCTTTGCGATGTATCGATTGATCTGCGATTTAAACCTATGGAAAAGGATCGATAAACAGGGTGTTCGCTAATAATCGATTCTTTACCATTGCTTCAAATGGGGAAGTATCGATAATTGACCGTACACGCCTGGCCACTGCTCGACAGTAGGGGACATTATCATGGTAACAATTAAAAACAGATCAAGGTAGATTACTGCGGGCTCCTTTTAGTGAGAGTGTGTGCGATGTTTATCGAGTGTGACGTCAGTAAATACTGATGAACCATGAGAGGTAGACAGAGGAACGATCATGAGAGTCCTAGGAAGCGTGGAGGATAATCGGATCATGGTTATGGCTTTAAAGATACGCACAATTAATGTCATGAGTCGTCGTTTCGCGTGTCTTGAAATGCATTTTGTCGTGAGCTGTTTCGGAGATTTTCCTTAAAATTGCGCGATGTCCGAATGCGAAAACAGGAAAAATTGACAGTGACCATATATTCGTCAAAGGATAATAACAGGGTTTCCGTCGCACAGTGGAGGTGAGATGTGAAGACTTAAAAATTTGAGCATCTGCATGGAGGTAGTAGGGGCAAGGCATGGCCGGATTTACGTACTTGCCGCCCCTAGGCCGCCTGTATTTTGCCGCCTGTATTTTGCCGCCCTCTTCTCATTCATTTTGGAACATCAATAAAATCCATCAAGTGAACGCGCCGGAGGGAGAAGGGTGCATAAGACGCGTTCACTCGTGTTAGACACATTTTTTGCGTAAGCCCTGTCAACACTACTAGCAAAAGTTCACGGAACTTCGCGCGAAAGTTCAGTTCCGTAAACCTATCTCTGTGGGGACAAGGCCTTTCATTTGTAAGAAATGAACTACAAAATTAAGAAAGAACAAACATAAATATGGTTTAATAATTTTAACTTCCGCCGCCGTGCGGCCCGTGCCGCGCTGACCACACTGTGTTTGGCGCAATGCGTGAAGTATTCATGTAGTCTTGTAGGCACTGTGCGTTTCACGCCACGCCGACCGCTGTTGACCGCACTGTGTTTGACGCAATGCGTGAAGTATTCATGCAGTCTTGAAGGCGCTAATATGTGTTACATGCCGACCGCCGCGTCGAGGGCCTCTCCTTTTCATCTCAAGTCCACGTCATCATTTCTCTTAGCGCCGCGCCGCTCCAGGCCAACTTACGTGTTTGGTTTCTCTCTTAACTCAACTAATTAAAGGTGCGCAGTATTTAGTATCACCGAAATACGACAAAATTAGAAATTAATGAACTCTCAGGAAACAAGAGATTTTGTCACCTTTTCTTGTTTGTAATTTTTTTCTGAATCCGATTTTTTTGTACCTGCATTTAAAGAAATTGCAAAATTTGCCGCCTCCTAATTTTGCCGCCGTGTAGCCACCCCCTTGATCCGGCCCTAGGAGGAAGTAGTAAAGCCTCGCATTTACCCACGGTAGGCTTCGAGAAGTAGATTCTAAAAGAGGGAAGGAAATTAACCAAGGCAACGTCATTTGAATCCTAAACGTTTAGCTATATCATCATTGAAAACGCTAACAATTTGCAATTTAACTCGTTTGATAACGATAAGACGCGACATCGCAATCTTTTGCCTATTATGAAATCTCTTCTATCCGATCACACCGCCCATCAAACGATACAGGTCGAGGGGCAATCAGAAATCAATAAAAACAAATTTCAGATCTCCCAAAATTTTCCCCTTTTTTTCTCTTTCTATCTTTGAGATATCTCATTCGGCCAGTGAGTTTGTTCTTGCTGTAACCATTAGGTATCATAATTTTTGTATAAATTTTAAATTAGTTTAATTTGTGTATCTTCAAACCGATGTTTACCGATAATTCTATCAGTCAAATCAAACGTTTAATTTGTGTGTTCGCGTATTTGGACCGAGTTCATCAGAAGGGAACCAACCCACATCGAGTTGAAACTGAGGAAAAGGGGTTTGAAGTTTTATTCCTGCATAAGTGCATAAGGCTCAATGTAGAGAATGAACTTTAACCCCTCTTTTAACACACTAATTTTTGTTTTTCGACTTTCAAATTTTGGCAGGAGAAAATATACGGCTAGTGGGACTCAAAAACATTCTTAACTCAATTTGTTCGTATTGTGGATTGGTTCTCTTCTGATTTTGGTCCACTTTCACCTTTAATGCAGGTTTTGCAAAATATATTTTTTAAGGAAGGAACAGTTTGAATGTGCTTCAAGGCAGAGAATCGATCCGTCTTTTCAAAGATATAACGCGAAGCCTGTAATTCAACAAAACTTGTTCGATATGATATTTCGATGCTTGCTCACTCTCGCTGGAGACTCACCCCTAATTCACGTGCGAAATCCTTATGGGCTAACAACTCAGCGTCTATCCTGCCGTGATAGCGGAGAGAGCCGTAAGTGCAAAAATGAAGTTTTGAGAAAACGGGCTCAGAAGCTTCTGACAAGAACATTTTATTGAAAGAAGCCTCCGTTCCTTGTCAAATTGCCACTAATCGTCCGGAAGACTCCTACAAATCGTATGGATGATTAAAAATCGAATGATTTTATTTCCATTACATAAAAAGGGTATTTTTCATTTTCATGCTAGGTTACTGTTAGGCAAGACTGCCGTAAGTGCCATCTTCTGCATGCTTTCGTGGTTGCGTTTTGGACGCACAACAAACACATCATCAGGTTAGAAATTGGCAGAAGAGGGCGGCACCTTACTGGAAAGCACTGTTTTCATTGGCTCTCATGCACCTACGGCTGTCTTGAAAAAAATTATGTCATTTTTGTGCACTTACGGCTTTTTCATACGTCTCGTTTTATTAAATCAGGATGAATTTTGCTGTCTTAGTTGTCTCAGTAATTTCATCTAAAAGAGTCTTGACGAATTCTGAAGAAAACACGATTTCGAAAATTTTGCACTTACGGCTCTCTTCGCTATCACGGCAGTATTAGTTTATCGAACTTGATTCAAGTCTCCCGGCATGTGGGCATGTTACACAGCGCATGGTCGGTGCTTTTGCGGCGAAGTCACTTTCTACCGCTCACCCATGGGTAGATCTTTGACCTAGACGGCCCCCTCGCTTCCTGCTCCTGGTCCGCCGCGGAACTTCCCGTTCCCGAATGCGTGCCCTCGCTGGCCGTCAGGATACCTTTACAACTTTCTCCGTGTCGGACACCCTGTCCGACTGCCCAACTGGATCAATTACCTCCAGGTCGCAGTGCTGTGATATTACAATCTTATTCGAATTTTAAAAATACGCTCTGTGACATTGTAACAGTGACTGCACTGTCCAACAGCACTTTTCGAAAATTCCTAAATGGACTGATTTAGTGACTGCGTCATTCGATATAGTATCGAACTCTGGGTTCAAACCAGAACAAACTAACTTATAACCTCATGCACGAATTCTTCATGAGTTATTTGTGTTAATTTATCAGAATTTAGTCATTAGCCGGTCATTAATCTATAAAAGACTCGTTTAACACGAGAAATTTTGATTGTAAGAAACTTTTGGACGCATTTTACCACCATGGCGCGAAGGGCGCGAATCAGGAACGAGGTTCTGTGTTTGTTTACATTTGGACGTACTTCTGTCAAACGGAACTATGTGCATTCTGATGTGAGCCCTGCTACGCATATATTCTTTTGGGTCTCAGGGATCATGTCTTAATGCACATAGTTCCGTTTGACAGAAATACGTCCATTTGAACCAAGGGTTATATCAAATGACGCAGCCAATAAATCAGTCTATTGATTGCTGCCAAGATTTAAGAAAGGAGAGCATTTTGACGTTGAAATTGCAAAAATGCGTAACTCATCCCTTGAGTCTTAAAATCTTCGCTCTCATTTTATTTTATCGAAAAAAACGTCCCAATAATTTTGCTCGAAATACTCCCTGAAAAAAAAAAAACTCCGGCCGAGGGAGCCGAAATTACGGGCTATATAGACATACCGTCCGTGCCGGGCTCAAAGGCCGAAAATTCCGGCTGCTGGAGGCGTAGCTTTGATTGCTCCGGGTTCAGAGGCCGAAGCTACGGCTTTAGCAGCCGGAATTTTCGGCCTTTGAGCCCGGAACGGACGGTGTGTCTATATAGCCCGTAATTGCGGCTCCCACGGCCGGAGTTTTTTTTCAGTGCTCACTAACATTGGGTAAAAACACACAATGATGCAGGTAATTTGAGTAAATTTTCTGGCGGTAGAAGTAAATAAATCTAGTTTCCTATCGTTTCGTATCATGTGCTTGTACCGTTCGTCATTTTTTTTTCTTTTTTCTTTTTTTTTCATTCTAAAAGTCCCATGAAAACCAAAATGGCCGAACTAATACAGAACGGATCCTCCATCGTTCCCTTTCTCACTATCGAGTTACCCTGAATTCCTTTACGTTTCTTTTACAATATTTTATTCGACTATCGCGCGCATTTCGAAGCTACGACTGCACTGCCGTGCTAAGAAAGAACGCCGTTTGAACATTCGAGAGTTGCCAAATTTCCTACAGTAAAATATTTATTTTTGAGAAAAATTATGAATATTTCTCCTTGAAATTTTCAGGAGTTTTAGATCAAATTGCGAACTAAATTATCTGAAAAATTGGTAGAAAAATATTTAAAAAAATGTCTGATAATTAGCGATTTGCCAGGAGAAATTTGGCAACGCCTGAAGGCTCATACGACGTTCTTCCTTAGCACGGCAGTGCACCCAAATGCCTGACAGCCACCACAGTTCGGTCTGCATTGGCAACGCTGGAAGCGGAATGCAAATAAAAGTTGCGTGTGGCTGCTCTTCCTTATTCTTTCAGTGCAGGGTTATACAACTGCAATAACCAGGCTTTTTACAACGCACCAAAATACTCCAGTCGTAGGCCATAGGCGGCAGAAACGGAACGCGGCGTCTTGTGCATGTGCCGTGCACATTTCGTCGCTCCTCTGACATAATGTCGTATCTCTGTTCCAACATGAGCCCCAAATAGCACAGAGTCATACAGGCAGCAGGGCTCACGTGGATATTGAGGAACGCCCTGACGACGGAACGACGATTTGCATGCCATGTTTCGAAAGCGATTTTTGCAGGTCATTTTTTCTTGGGTCTAGCGCAGTGGAGATGTTGCATGTGTTAGGAATTTGCGATTTGACTATTGATCCTCATGTAAAAATTCGCGAGAAACACGATGGTGCCACTGGTCTCCTCTGAAATCAACTCCCAAGCTCAAAAAAAGCTCTCAAGTTGAAGCTAAAATGGAGGGGATATCCCCAAACTCTCAAAAAAAAAAAACTCTCCATGCAAAGACAGGGAGCAAATACATTGACAGGGCTGCCGTGTTTTCAGTTTTAGAGTTCTCAAGTAAAGTGGCAGCCCTGTCAATGTATTTGCTCCCTATCTTTACATGGAGAGTTTTTTTTTGGATAGTTTGGGGATATCTCCTTCATTTTGGCCTCAACTTGAGAGCATTTTTTGAGCTTGGGAGTTGATTTCAGAGAAAACCAGTGTCACCATCGTGTTTCTCGTGAATCTTTGCATAAAAATCCATAGCCAAATCGCATTAAGCGATTAAAAGTCAGAGCAATTAAGCATTAAAAAGTCAGTTTGAACTTTCTCTCCACTATGAGTATCTATGTAATTTCGAAACCCATGTATTTCTCGATATAGCAAAAACTGCACTTATGCGTTGTTGTTTCCTCCCTGAAATTCATATCTACATTCGGATAAATAGTTTTGACCTACTTCTTTTGAACTACATGGCTTCATTTTGAAGTTAGGAAATACTGTTTCTAGCTCACGCAAAAAAGCTCTTATCTGCGTACGGAAGCTAATGGTAACTATGTTGTTTCTAAAATAAGACAGAAATAGTAGTTTCTAGTTGAAAAACGTGGTCCAAATCATGGTCACAATGTCCCTCGAGATTCAGGGCCGGATTTACCTACTTGCCGCCCATGAGCCGCCTGTATTTTGCCGCCTCCTTCTCATTCGTATTGAAACATCAATAAAAACCATCAAGTGAACGTGTCAGCGGGGGAGGGGTGCATAAGACGCGTTTACTCTTGTTGAACACGTGCTTTGGGAATGTCCTGTCAACACTACTTGCAAAAGTTAAGTTTCGTAAACCTATCTCTGTGTGGACATAAGGCCTTTCATTCATAAGAAATGAACAAAAAATTATGAAAGAACAAACATGAATGTGGTTTAATGATTTTAACTTCCACCGCGCCGCGCAGACCGCACCGTATTTGGCGCAATGCGTGAAGTATTCACGCAGTCTTGTAGGCGCCATGCGTTTCACGCTGACCGCACTGTGTTTGGCGCAATGCGTGAAGTATTCATGCATTCTTGTAGGCGCTATCCGTTTCACGGTGACCGCAATGACCGCACTGTGTTTGATGCAATGCGTGAAGTATTCGTGCAGTCTTGTAGGCGCTAATATGTGTTACATGCCGATCGTCGCGCCGAGGGCCTCTCCTTTTCATCTCAAGTCCTCGTCATCATTGCTATCTGCGCCGCGCCGTTCCAGGCCAAATTGCGTGTTTGATTTCTCTCTTAACTCGATCACTTAAAGGTCCTGTCTCTTGTATCACCGAAAGACGACAAAATTCAAAATTATTATACTCTCAGGAAATGGGAGATTTTGTCGCCTTCTCTCGTTTTTAATTTTTTTTCCAAATCCGATATTTTTTTATACCTACACTTAAAAAAATTACAAAATTTGCCGCCCTCTAGATTTGCCGCCATGGGCCGCGGCCCATGTGGCCTCCCACCTAATCCGGCCCTGTCGAGATTCCCATTTATTTTTAAAAATTTGATTTTTGATTTTGAAAATTAATTACTCAGCTTTATAATTGGTTTTTTTTTCTTCTTCTTTCCACAGGAGGAAATCTGCACATTCCTGTTGTGTATAAAGGGGCGCCTCTAGAAAGAGCAATCAAAGAAAAATTCAAAACTGTGATTTTTTCCCATGGATTTGGTGCATCTCGATTTGTTTGTTCAACTTTTTGTTGTGAACTCGCCTCTAGAGGTTTTGTCGTTGCCTCTGTCGAACATAGGTAAGATTTTGTCTCTAGTACCTATCACGGAAATGAAATGATCTCTAACACAATACATTATGCACAAGTTACATATCTTGTTATGTTCAAAAAATATGATTATTTTTTTTTCTTTCTTTCTTTTTTTCATTTATCTTGAGTGTAACCTATTTCAGAGCACTCTCTGCCCAAGTAGCATTTTTCAACGGAAAAATCGCGATTTTATCGCCGATAAAATCGCGATTATCCTCGATTTTATCGGCGATAAAATCGCTAAGATCATCAACATCTGAGCGATTATCCTCGATCTTTTCGCGATTTTATTGCGATTTTATCGGCCCGAAAAAATTGCGATTTTATCGCGATAAGATCGTGGATAATCGCTCAGATGTTGATGATCCTAGCGATTTTATCACCGATAACATCGCCAAAAAAGGGGTTAACGTTGTTAGCCGACTGCCGTTAGGTTCCGCCATCAGGTCCTTTGACGAAGTCGAGCGAAAAATCCCCGGAGCCTCCGCGGGGATTCGAACCCCAATCGCTACGGCGGAAAGCCAGCACTGTGCCACTAGGCTATGGCCTCTATATGACTAACGAGTGCGAATTGAAGCCTCTTATACATGTCTCGGTGCTTCGCAACCTTACAACTTATGTCGTTGCGTTGACTGACACCGGGTTTTCATTATATTTTATTTATTTTATTTTTTTTTTTATTTTCCCTCCTCTGTATTTCATTTCATACCTTGAAATACGGTTGGTAAAATAAGGTTCTATTGGTAATCTCATCATTCTGTCTTTGTAAAATCACCAATAATAGTGAGATGGTAAAGTTACCGATGGACCTTAGTAAAAACACCAATATTTTTTATCGACTTTGGTGGAATTACCGAGATAAAATGGTGAAGTTACCAAGAATTAATTACCAATATAAGTGGTATTCTAACCTGAAAAAATCAGTAAAAATGGTTTTTAGGTGCGCTTACCAGTCTGTCTTGTAACATTACCAATAGGTAATTGATAAAAAAAATGAGATGGTTAAGTTACCAACGGACCTTGGTAAAAACGGCGGCGGCGCGGCGGCATAGAAACATCTTTCATATGCGTCATTCATGCGTTAGTGGGCGTTGATGAAAAATTGCAATTAATTGCAATTTTATCTCTATACAATCGCGTTCGATAAAATCTCGATTTTACTGCAATTTATCGCGATTTTTCTCCCGATAATATTGAGATAAATCGCCGTCGATAAAATCGCGATTTTACTACGATTTATCGCGATTTTTTATCCGATAACATTGCAATAAATCGCGACGTCGATAAAATCGCGATTCATTCTCCGATTAAATCGCAATTTATCGCGATCACTGCTACTTGGGTGTAGAAGAAAAATCAGTACAATCATTTTGAGATGTACCTACTTAGACAATTATGTACTTTTTCTGCTATGAATTTCGTATGTACTCAGGTGCATAAATTGGTTTCTAGTGTCCAATTTCATCCATTTAGTAAAAAGTTAATAAAGGTTTATTAAAAGTTTATTAAAGGTTGTTAAGAATCGTAATTCTTATTCAAAAGTTTGAACTTTTCAATCCAATATAATTTAGATCTTAGGTCATCCTCCAAGTTTCTAAGGATCAAAGAAGAAGATAACAAATTCTTTCAACTGAAAATAAGTTTTTTTTCCATTAGTATTAATTACCTACTTACTCAGATATTAATTTTTTTTTCTGTCTGACAGAGATAATTCTGCATGTGCCACATATTACTTTGAATCGGAGGAAGCCAAAAATAATGACACATGCACTTGGATTCGTCATAAAAAGCTGGAAGTTGGCCCTAAACATTACGCTGAAAGGAGAACTCAAGTATGAGCTTTTTTATGGTTTTCATCTAAATATCTTTGTTTATATTAGTTAATTTATTATTTTTGGTAAAGTCTGGCTTATTTCCCTGTGTTTACCTAAAAGTGGGGGAAAATGGTTTGTCTTCTCCAAATATAACTCAAAATTTTCCCATTAAGTCCGAAGTGAGTTGTATGTGTGGAAAGCACTGTGCATCAGGTTCAAAATGTGTAGAAAAAATAAGGGTGTAAAAGAAACTAGACCTTCTGAAACAAAGCTTTAGTCAATCTGCTGTGTAAGTTTGTTCCCATCAAAAAAGGCACAAGCTTTCTTAATTAAGTCAAAATATTTATCAGCACAAGAACCTGAGGTTTAGAATATTGTGCATAACTTATTACTCCTAATGTAAAATACCTTACAAAGCAACCTTTTTCTAATAGAAATTTTTTTGTCATTATTATTTTCAGATAGCAATCCGATCTAAAGAATGCTCCCAAGCCTTAGATTTACTCCACTCACTTAACTCTGACTCAGTGACCAATATCTTAGACTCATCTACTTTTCTAAATGATTTTAAAGTAAGTTCATATATTTTAGTTTCCAAATCAATTATAATTTTTCGTCTCTTTCCCTTGCTTGTTCAACTTTCTGGATAAGAACAAAAAAAACGTCAGGCACCCACAATGTTAGATTGAGGAAACACCAAAATATTTATTATATTTTATGTATTACGAAAGCTGAATCTTTTCAATAATGTGACGCTGAAACCAAGAAATTTAGTGCTTTATTTTTAGTGAATTGCAAAGTGGGGTGAAACTCGGTACCTGGATGTGTTTTGTTTCCCTATCCCCCTTTTTTCACACAACACAAAACAAGAATAGGAAGTAGGGAAAATGCAACATAGGGACAAAGTTTGTGAGACCAGTCAATGTAAGCATATAGACACCACCCAATGATAGCCATCAAATTCTCAACCAAATAGTTCATTTACAAAAGACTTCAAGTGCCAGTAACTAAAGGGCACTCTAATAGTTCATTTACGAAAAACTTCAAGTGCCAGTAACTAAAGGGCTCTCTTGAAGTCAGGATAGCAAAAGGTTAAAAAGATTCAAGATTTTTTTGTTCTGAAGATTTTTTGTAAACGAATATTTCAATTGCAACTGGAAATTTTGCACTCACGATTGACCATGTAAAAATCAGTAAAAGCTATTAATTTTATAAAAAAGTTTACAATGAAAAACTCACGCTCCTACTAAAGTAGGTAATTTTCAGAGCGTCCTTCAGTAGGTAAGGCAGCAACCGAAACGTATTCCGAGAAATACCTACTTTAGTAGAGGAGTGCGAGTTTTTTCATTTAAACAGTTTATGAAACTAGAAAGCATTCCAGAATATAATAATATTGAAAGAATGGAATCTTCGACACCTGTGCAGCACTGTGGTTACATTAAGGTGTAAGGTGCACAAAAATTGGTGAGGAAGGTCAGTTAAACTGGAAGTTTATAAAGCAACAGAAGAAAAAATTAAGCATCATGTTTCCCAATCGAAATTTCATGTGTAATGAAGTGGCTAAATCAAGAAAATGATCTATCTTTTGTAAGCGAAACGTTCTTTCACCTTTTTTTATTGAGAATTCGTGATCCATGTTGGAGCAAAGGTGACTAATCCAAATCAGTCTCCCTTATCACCTGTTCCGTGGCATTAATGTCAAAGTTGATTGCATTTCAAGTCAATGCCCTTTGTGTGTGTTTTTTTTTCTCAATCATCTCGGTAGGACAGAAACAAACTCTGTGTTAATCACAAATGAATGAATAATTCAACATGAGGTCATGTCTTGGTTGATCTCATGATGCAGCATCTATCACCGTGTTGTCAGATCAATTCGCAAAATCCTCCTATTTTAAATTATACCTGTCATGCTTCCACATTTGAAAACTATGTTTACTTTCTGATGGTGAAATTAGAAAAAAATTTGCACTCTAATGTGCTGGGAACATACTTAAAACTTGAGGTATTGAAGTTTGAGTCTACCCAATTGACAATGCTGTATTTCATCTTATGTTGTGTTTTTTTTCTTCTCCCTACTAAAAAGTAAACAACATTCTGTCTGAAAGTTTGTCACAATGTATTCTTTAGAATTTAGAAAAAACTAATTGAAAGTTTCAAGGCAAGTTTCAAGATCACTCAGTTTTTGGGTTTATAAAATGAAACATGAGTGAAACCAGACAACTTTAAAAGCTGTCAGGCTAATTCTCAGGGAAGATCTATAAAATCCGCTGTCATCGCTAATGTGATTTTTTTTTTTTTTTTGTGCATAGGGGAGACTGGATTTATCTTCACCAACAATTTCAGGTCACTCATTTGGTGGAGCAACTTGTTTGCAGACTCTCTATAATGATGAACGATTTCAGTAAGTCTCTCATCACCAATCAGACATTATTATTGTTCCAGCTTCAGGAATAAGCCAAAGTCATTAAATTATTAGAATTGGATTAGGCTTTGACCATAACAATAATCGTATCAGACTAAGTTATTTTAATGAGGCCATGTGTAGAAGCATACTCTTTTTAATATATTTAATTCACCCTTTGTACTTTTTAGCAGTTGTTCCTGAAGTAGTCACAAATATGATTTGTGGCCATTTATGGAGGAAAGGGCTTTATTCGCGATAGGTAGAATTTTCATCTTCAGCACACTAGGCAATGTAGTACATAGTGACTTTAATTCCTAGATAATTTAGATTCACTTTAAACAGGTCAAGTGCAAAAAACATGGCTGAGTAATGGACTTTCAGAATTTTCTCATTGTTGCCTATTTGGCTATAATTCATTGAAATTTCCATAATTTTTTTTGAACGTTTTTATTTTGAAGGGGTCAAGAAAAGAAATATGTGGGCGTATTTATAGTTTTTCCCTTTATTTTTTAAAACTTTGCTTCACAACACCAATAGCTAATAGCAAAAGGCATCTAACTACATTTTTTCCTTTTAAGAAATCATAAGAATACTGTCCTACATGTTCATTGCTTAAAATGTAATTCAACATTTTTTGAGTTAAGCATTTACTGTCCGGTGTCAAGTACCTTTTTCAAATTTGTTCATTCATATTGAACCCCTTTTAAGCATGCTTAGAATGTCCCCAGTATAATTTGTATAAAACCTTACACTTTCACCCATTTGCTCTCTACTATTGATTTATTGACGCTAATATCATCAATATTAATAATTCAGTGATTTTTTCCCCTTTTTTTTTGCAGTCGAGGTGTAATTTTAGATTGCTGGATGTTCCCACTGAAAGATGAAACACATATCGTTGTCAAGCAACCTCTCTTGTTCCTTAATTCACAAACGTTCCATATAAAACAGAATTTAACGGCAATGGAAAGGGTTATAAAAGAACCTGCTGATGCCATTCGATCTGTTTTCACTGTGAAGTAAGTTTTCTCATCAGTTTTTTCCTCTATATTGCAATCATACTTTGATGTTATGATAGAAGAAAGGTTGCCTATGAAAGATGCTCAATTAGGCTCTTCCTAGGTGGAGACATCCAGTGAAAGAGAGACCAACCACCGTTAAACAAGAAATGAGGAAATGCCACCTCCCAGAGGGGCTTTAGGAGATCAGGGGTCTGTGATGGTCAGACATTGCAGATTTTCAGATAGCTCTGTAAGAGTGGCTCTTAAGTATGTCAGTAATCAATTTGTACTGAAAAGCATTATTTTTTTTTATAAAAAATTGATGGAACTCTGATTAGTTTAAGTGTACGGTAGTATCTGAATTTACTATGTAATGCATAGAATTTTCAAAAGAACAAAACTTACCATATGCTTTGCTATATGATATGTTTGATTTTGCCAAGTGAGAGTTAAACAAAAATACCTGGAGACATAAAGTATGAGGACTTGCATATTTACTCTCATTTGTTTCAACTTGAGTGACATTCAACATGATATGATCTGCCCAAGAATTTATGAAACTCTCACAGCTTCTTCATGACTGACATAAAAAGGTCATCTCTGAGTAGGGGGATACATGCGAACAAGGAACATTGAACATCCTTCACTTTGACACAATATGTACTAGAATACCTATTCAAGGAGAGTAAGGTCGTTTGTGTGCTGCTTTTTCATTAGTCACGAAAATTACTCAGACATGTTGCTCTTACAGCTGTAAGTAAACAAATATAATGGCTACTTCACATAACCATTGAATTCCCTCTGGGAGAAGTAGTTGAAATAATCATGAAATACCTGATTTAATATATACTTTTTTAATGGCAAAAAAAAATTAAGAGCTACTTTCAGGTCTTACTAACGTGATGATTCGGAGAAAGTCCTGAATTCCGTCGATCTAGAAAGAGTAGTTTGGTAAAAGTAAATCTGGAGTATTTTATCAGGAGAGGGTTTGTATAAGCACCCTGAAGCCTATCGACCAATAAGAGCGTTTCTTCACCTATAACCTTAAGAGCACTTTGTCAGGTGAAAACAAGCTGTCCATTGGAAAAGCACCAGAGCTTTTCTATACCAAAACGATAAGAATGGTCGTACTCTCCTTTTATAGATACTGCACTAAATCATCTTGGTATTTACTGAAGTACTCTTAACTCATTGAACCAAAGCAAAAAGCAAAGACAAAAAGTGCTAATAAAAGGAAGTATATTGAAAAGAAATTTGAAATTGAATTTTTTTAGGAACACAACTCATGAAAGTCAAACAGATACGCCTTTAGTCTGGGGTTATTGGTTGGATTTATTCATGAAGAAATTATCCCCTGAACTCGCTCTGCGGATACAAAATCATCTAGCACTAGTTTTCTTGCACCAGCAATTAGGTGAGTAGCCTTGAAAATCAATTTGCAATTACTAATTATGAATGACTTTCAATTGATTTAAATTGATTTCAATGATTTAGCCAAATTCAGCGAGAGTTACCTTTTTTTCTATGATAGCCTATTCAGACTGATTAATCCCAACTCATTCAGATTCATTCTGGTTTATTCGGATTTATCCTGATATATGTAGATGTATTCTAAATCTGCTCAATTCATACATGCCTCGTCAGATTTATCCTGATGTATCCAGCCGTTTTGTCCTGTTACTTTTATAATTTTATAGTAGCAAGGTTTTCAAGTCCTTGAATTTCGAGAGATTACTTTAGTGCTTTTGAAAGTTCTTGAATTTCACTTCATCCGGTGTGTGTATATTTGCAACAATTTGGCAGATTGGTCTTTTTATTTATTCTTAGGTGAAGTCCTCTAAAATATTCAGTATCATTGTATGTATATCATATTTTTCCATTATTATGTAGGGAGAAGGAAATAATTATAAGAAGGAGAAATTCCCATTTTGAGACTTTCATTAAGGCCCCTAAATTTTTATGAGTCTTTCAAATAAAGTGCTTAAAACTTTTTTCGCAAGTTCTTGAAGATCCTGAAGATTATTTTTGGATTTAGCAGCCAAAATTATTGAGTCGAGTCCACACCAAATTAGTACCCACACCATTTTTAGACTGCGATAGAAGATCGTGTGACGTCAGTTTAGCATTGAAAGTAAATGCAAGAATCAAGATGGTGGATCCTCTGTGGCAGCCCTAAAAGTGCCTAAACTTATTTGGCGAGGACTCTAATTTACATTCAGTATGCCAAGGAATTTTTCTGGCTCTTTCTGACAACAAAGTTTCTCAGAACAGACAGCCAAATCCATTCACTTATCCAATGTAAATCTCAACCATTTGTTTCGCGCCTAAAAGGGGAGGTAAACATTTTTTTGGTAAGTGTTTTCATGGGACTGATTCCGTGGAATTTTTATTGCTAAAGCCAACTCTGATCCAGATTTATTTCTATTGCGTACAAGTTTCAGTACAAGTCAATTACAAGTTGGGAGTCCGTCAGGAGATGGAAATGTTAATAAAATGTTAAATTGTCCTGAAATGTTTGTTTTTACCTAATTTGAAAGGTTTTACAGGGCTCCTCATTAATTTTCAAATTTATCTTTTTATTTCATCGATCCATTCATTCATTAACCCTGAATAATTTTATTCAATTGAGGTGATGCACCATATTATCCCGTCCGGCAAAATTACGTTGTGGCAACGTTGCCAAAACGTTGCAATTTCGCCGTTTACGTATTCGGGCACCGTTGTGGTAACGTTGCCACAACGTGTAATTTTGTCAGCTTGCATGAACGTAATTGGCAATGTGTCTGCAATGTGTTTTAGCAACATAATGGGAATGTTGCAAAAATACGTTTTAGCAACATAATGGGAATGTTGCAAAAATACGGTGAAAAAATTTCGGTGATTTATTTTAGGAGTACTCTGCATTTTTACTCCTAGAATTCAATGTGGACCGCAGAGAAGTGTTTCTTAGGCACCCGAAATTCACTCTAAGTCCGATAGTAGCCGCGCTCCGCCCGCGGGTTCCCAAGCGGGCTCCCCCATCGAAGTACTAACTACGCCCGACGTTGCTGAACTCCAGTGATCGCCCGTGTGTCGCTGCCACTCAGCTACGGACGCTCGCGTGAGAGAGATCGGTTATTTAGCATTATTAAACATCCCTAGATCTGGTTCAATGATAGAAAGCAATGATATTCTTGCATTTCTGTGCATAATTCTAAAACGAAGGATACTGAACATAATATTAGGAAGATCAAGTTTTTAAAAAAAGGAGTATGAAAAAAAATTAAAAAAGAATTGAATAAATATATTCATTTTATATAAATAAAATTATTATTATTTTAATTATTTATTTAATTATATTATAATTATTTTTTATTATTATAATTATTTGGTATTTTTATTTTGTATTAAATTATTTTCTAATTATTTATATTTATTTTTTTTATTTTATTTTTTATTTTTAAATTATTTTTTTATTTTTTTTAATTTTATCTTCATTTGTATATTTTTATTGTTAATTTTTTTATTTTTTTAATTATCTATCAATTAATTTTTGTTTATTTTTGTATATACATATACATATTTTTGCGACATTGTATGAGGGCGCATTCCCTTATATTGATTGGAGAAAATCATCTGTTGAGAAACAACAGAAAGGAGAACACCTGAAACAGTGTAAAAGTGTCCCCTCCGATTTGCAGCACAGCATCTGCCTGACCTCATATCTGAGTTCTACGACCAAAATTACACAGGGATTGATACCTCACATGACACTATATACGCATTTTAAAAAACCGAAATCCCAGAGGCCTTATTATGGCCGCCATTTTGAAATTTAGGCATTTTGGGGGGTGTTCCGGGGTCGGACCGTGGTAAACTTTTGGTATGTTGTTCAGGAGGACTTACTGATGACGTTTACATAGGAAAAGTTTGTTAAGCAATTTGTTCCGGGTCAAATCGTGTCTCTCCCTGACTAATAATGTTTCACAACGTTGTCACAATATATCTAAGAAATATTTATTGAAACGTTTTTTAATAATGTTCCAGAAACATGTCTAAAAACGTTTTGAAAATATTGTCTAAAATATAATGTCAGGCAACATTGCTGAAACATTGCTTAAACGTTGCTGCTTTACCTTTACAAAGCAATATCATCAAAAATGTTGCCTTGCAACGTTGCGGCAACGTACACATTGCTCCCTTGTCGGGCGGGATTTACAACCATGTGTCAATAGAGTTATTTAGGTGCGACTCAGGAGTTAGTGAAAAAACTTTGGTTGTGTACCTACACTCTGAATCTTACTTTTCATTTCCATGGTAGTAACTTCACTCTAAATTTTTAACCTTCCCTTTTTCAGGTCCAGATCCAATCAATGATGTGGGATCCAGTGAACGTTTCTTGAGTGAACACAAGAACGTCTTAGTTGAAGGTTTGGTCAACAGATTTGCTCAGCCTGCTGTACACAAGTTTCACCCTTTATTTTTGGTTCACTTTTTTAATCCATTTGCCACTAAACGTTAAAAATTACGGATGGTATCTTTCAGCTAGCTTTCAGTCCAGTAAAAGGGTTTATTGGCCATTTTCTTCTGCATTCTGTCCTTTTTCTTACAAATGGTGAGCTTAAAGCCGTATTGGAGCTGCTGGATATCCATAGCCAAAGCACAATATTTGCCAGCTTAATATTGCTGAACTACGAACAGCACGCTTCATTACTGAAGAATGTTATGGGTGAAAAACTGAAGGGATTGTTTAGACGAAATTAACATATCAGTTACGAATGATAACTTGCTAAAAAGAGTCTCTAGAGATCTGGATTTATTTTGCAGTCTCTGTGTATTGTTTAAAATGTTGTGTGTGCCAAAAAATCCAGTTTAATTTTTTGTTTCAATGCTCTTTTTCGAAGTCTTAATAATGTATTCTCACCCTTTCATCCATAGAATTCTCTCAGTTATTTAGTTGGTCCATAACAATGGGTTTTGTAGAAGCCTGGTTTATCTGGACTGAGTTTAACAGAAATGACCGTATTTAAATTAAAAGGAACTATATCCATTGTGACTTGAGCCCTGTCATGCATGTGTTATTAAAGATTTGAGGGCTCTCGTTAGAATGGATATATGTACATAGTTCCTTTTGATTTAAATACATTCAAATGCACCTAGTTTCGAACCAAAAAAAAAGAAGTTCGTAGTTTTCCTCCACAAGGCTCAATATAAAGGACAAAGTTTAACCACTTTTTTCATGTTGAAAACATTTTTCCTCAACTTTGAATTTTTGCCAAAAAAATTTTCGTTTACTTGAACTAATAACTACTCCCAACTCATGTTTTCTGTAGTGTGACTTGGTGTGTCCCTGTTAAATTTGGTCCATGTGGTTCAATACTTATTAATGTAAAGGGGCAATGTATGTACTTCCATCAGCTTTTACAGCAATCGCGAGAGCATATCTCAATGGAGAAATTAGAAGAATGCATATCTCAACTCCTGCGTTTCAAAATTCAGCCCTATTGCTCGTTTTTCAAAATGGAACTAAATCAGCCACAGCCGTGCATAAACTTTTGAGATATAATTTGGAAACATTTAATAATTGATTGGAAAATAAACTTTTTCTGAAAGTAAGACCAAGCAGTATGTTTGCAGTGTTGTCAATCAAAATACGTTTTTCTCTAGTTATACCATTGGCTCACAATCAAAACAGAGTTTCATTGACACTCCTTTTATTGATTTAATCTGAATTAAACTCATTAGAAGTTTCAAAAGTTTAACCAAAGAGTCCTAAGTGTTCAGTAAGGTAAGCCGAGCTTGGTAGTAATTCTGAAAGTTGCCATTAAGTCTGGAGAATTTTGTCCAAGTCTGAAAATGTGTACTGTGGTTTAAGAATCATCGGAAATGGGATTTTATTTTCCTAAAGACTATGTTTGACCATTGTGCTTTTATGTGGGAAATCTAAAAGTGAATATCTTCATCCAACAATGCCATCATAAGATTCTATAAATATGATCACCTACTCTACTTTCACTCTTGAGAGAGGAAGATTCAATAGGTCAGTTGCGCAGGTCACAGAATTGTGTTTTAATGCTCGATTCTTGTAGATAAGCTGAAAATAATAAGATCCGTCCAAACTACAACTTTCTATGTTCATTATTAACCGAGACATTGCCCTTTGAAAAGTCAGGTTATTGACATCATCCACACCCTTGGTTCCTTTCCCCTTGCTTTCATCCGAGTTTCACGTTGAGCAGCCAGTGCTGATGTGTGTCTCCCTGACTGACAAAACCAAGATGGAAGAAACCAAGGGTGTCACTACCAGGGTGGATGACTTAAAAAACCCGACTTTTCCAAGGGGGATATTTCGGTTGATATTGAACGTAGAAAGTTGCGGTTTGGACGGATCTCATTATTATTAACTAATCTATGAGAATTAAGCCCTAAAACACGATTCTGTGACAAGGACAACTGACCCTATGTGGAAACGAAAATTATTTCTGTCCATATTATGAAGATAAAGGGAGATACTGAATTTTTTTATTCACAGTGATTTTTGTCTGACAAAAGCGGGGTATCAAGCTCCTTGTTTTGGTTAAATTTAAGTTCAAAAAACAAAAGATTGAGGCCTCCTCTTTGGTTCATTTTACTCATGTATATGGACCTTATGAATATGATGCATGTGCTGAGTGATTCTTTTTGATTTGCCACTATACTGTGAGCAACTCGTAATGAAGCTTTCAAGTGCTTATTTTTACTGGGTAAACGGACAGATTTAGTCATTCAACTAAAAAAAAACTGTGTCAGCAGAATGAACAGGAAGAATCCTTAGCAATGCTGTAGGAGTGTGCCCCAATAATATTGGCTGCTGGATCCAAAACTTACCTTGGATTTTACTAATCTTACACCTTTATTTTGCAAAATTAAATTTTTGCTGAAATTTAATTGAGTGTAATTTCTGAGAAAATCCAGATTTTCAATGAAAAAGTACAGCAGTGTGGGCTGTTAAGTTTCATGGGAACATTAAAATTCTTGAAATCTTATTAGTCTTTGAATATATTCTAAGAATTAAACCAAAACCTTAAAGGAGGGATTAAGAATGCAGTGCCATTTGCAACTCAGAGAATGTGTCTATGAATTTACCATTATAAATGGGGAATACTGGTACCCGTTAATTTTGAATTCCCATAGTATATTTTTCGCAATTTTTGGAAAAACTCGTTCTCTTTGTAAAATTTTCATTTTTCTAGGGAGATTTTTTTATCATACTTAATTAATGTAGCATCATGTCTTGTTTAACTTGTTGCACTCCGAATTTTTTCCCCTTTTTATACCTTTCTTCAATCCTATGGTTAGTTTTATATATTTTTTTGTAAATAATGAGCTTCCTTTTTGAAGCCAAAATAAATGCTGTCTTTCAGATAAATCAAATTATTATTGCTGTCCCACACTTAAGTTTTGGGTGTACATTTCTTGAGTTTTTTCTTTTTACGATGAATGTTCTGTAAATTTTTCACTTAGGAAAAATCGCCATACATCATCAAGGGAAAAAATGTATAAAATTGATGCAGGCAGTTCAATTTTGTCATTAGATTAATGTGCATCTGTGTTCCAACTTTACCCCCAAAATTTCAAAAATCCTTGTTACGAAAACATCTTGCGTCTAACTTTTCACTAATTGCACCATAATATATAGGCATAAAGTCAATTTGGCCCCTAAAAAATCTTCAATGGCGTCTAAAAATCGGGCTTGATGCGCCACATGGCTCTTAAAACTCAAAGGTGAGTTTCGAACACTGCCGTCAAGTCTAATTTTCAAAAGCCGTCAACAATACCTCACAAGCTAGAGAGATTTCTGATACGGCCATCATGAAGCACAAAATCCTGGAGAAAGCAAAAATCAAAAGAAAAATGGAGGTAACAATAAATTTTGGGAGCCCTTGTTTGACCCATTTTATGTGATGTGCTAAAAAGTTGGAGCACTGATCTATATTAATCTCAAAATGTCAAATTGATGTTATTTTCTGTTGACTTTTTCAAAATATTTCAGCTTATCAAAACTGATCCAGTCCATCTCTCCAAAATCAAATCAATTTGCCAAAGCTTGTGTATTTTTGTCCTGTGCAAGAGATGTAATGTTTCTCCTTGACTGATTCAGTGTAAATGAACCAAATGTAGATAGGATTTTAAGATTGTATCGCTTTTTACCTACTAAGGATTCGCTAAGTCTTGTTGTGTATGTACCTGTAATTTACGTCTTTCTTTTATAAGAAATTCTCTCTCCCTCTTTTTTATTTTTAGTGCTCTTATGTGAAATTGCGATTTTGTCCTCTTTTTTATCCTTGATTTGTGTGGTGCCTTTTAATTGTTAATCTGTCAAAAATTTGGTGAAGGTTACCGTAAAAACTTTTGTTTTTTGTTTTTTATTTTTTTACCTAGCTTTTTATGCATGTTTCTCCCTTCAAATTCGGCCCATCTAGTCCTAGTCCTTCTTTGTGCTTTATTCCTTATTTTGTAACCTTTTCGTAAAGAAAAGCAAGGAAAAAACCTCATGAATAAAATATTTATTCTTGGTTGAAATCTCTTATTCTTCTATCCTGTAAAATCCTAACATTGATCATTTTTACATTTTTCCCTATAGGACTGCAATAGTTAGCCGTTTGGGCGAAAAAAGCCGATAGCTAAATGTTAGTGCATCAGCATGAAGATAATTTTATCAGCTTGGGAATGAGGTCTTGTAGAGGTCATTTGGGTGAAAATCCACAAAATTGCCTTTCAACAGAGACGCGTTTAACATGGCCCTCCACGATTTTAGGGAACTTTTCTAAACCCCTCAAAAAATATCCAAAACAAGATACATATGTTCATCAAAAGAAATAAACATGTAAAGTATTCTAACTATGGTGTGCATACTTGATTATTCTTTCATTTGGTATTCTACATTCATTCTTTTCTTTTTGACGTATCTACCTCAGTGTTTTGGTTCACGAAACAACCACTCCGCCCATCTAACACTATAAAAGGTGTTTCTGAAGTTTTCTGGCATGAGGGTCCAGAAGATAGTTTGAGCTGTCCTCCTAGTTCATCAATTGTAGTAAATATCTTGCTTTTTAAAGCTTTTTTTCATCTCTTGAACCGCCTAAAATTACATTATGTAATATTCAGGCTGTATGTGGTAAATTCTCTTGCAGATAAAAGTGGCAATTTTGAGTGGGCATCCTTCCACTGAAGGATCCAACTTTTTTTTATCTGACATGTATACTGTATAAGATGTTGTAAATTATTCAACATACTTCAGTATGGTTCCCTGTACTCCTTCTCCAGGCACAAGCTGTAACTTAGGGAATTTTCAACTGAATGGACTTAACAAGGTCTCATTTCCAATACAAGAATATACACTTATATGATTGCACAAACCAAATTTAAGTTATCTAGTTTTCGTTGTAGGTAAAAAGAGGATTGTAGAATTTTTTGGACAACCTATGTAAGTTGAGAGTGAAATTTGACATTTGACATCATGATCTTTACACTTTCATATGTTGAATGTTTATGTGTAAGTCTTAATCGATTTTCTGAGGGAATTATTTTATTTTCTGGTATCAGAAAATGGTGGTGTATTAATTATTTATATATTATTTTGTTTTCTCCAATTGTATTTATTTTTTAAGAAACGTCTTTTTCAGTATTTAATCCCCTGGCAGTAGCCACAGTTCTGAGATAAGACTGAAGATAATCTTGAAATATGAAGCAATTGCTCAGTTTCAACGGGTAGCGTTACTTTATGCTCTAGGCATAACTATCCATGACTATCCAATATGATATAACCACAGCGTATTATGTGTTGAGCCACTCTTGTAGTTTTAAGGAATCAACTTCCATTGATGAAGTATGCTCAGGAGCCTCATGTTGAAGCTTTAATTTTATGCTCTATTTAAAAAGATGAGACTCATCATGGAAAAAGCCTGATTTAGAAAAGGCAGAATTCAAAGGGTCCTCTGTCGTATACCAAGTTTGTCCCATTTATTTTCTCATTCATTAATAACATCATTGGAAAGCCTATTTGTGACAAACAGAAGTACATATCAATGAAAGTCAATTTGTAACCAGAGAATTAATCGAGAAAAACAGCAAAGCTTTGTTGGAAAAATACTCGCTAACTGCAGACAATTTTCAACATATTTTGAGGTATTAGAAGTGAATATTAATGGAAAAATATTGTTGAATTAGTGCAGTAAAATTTTGGGCCAGTGATTAACTTTTAGGAAGAAGAAGCTAGCATATCGCAGTGAATGTGTTAGAATTCTCACTTTTGCAGTATTTTCTCAGTAATAGGTTTAAAAGTGGATACATATTATGTAAACCCAATATGGAACGACTCCTCTTCTCAACATCCAAAAACTGCAAAATAGAACACTGTCTTTTATAGGATGGAAACACAATAAAAACCTGAATATGAGAGCCCTCTTTTAAAGAAAGTCTGACCCGAGGCCTTGCCTTAATAGGTATTGTAGTGGTATGGCTAAAACTTTGCCGGTAAAACCCCTGAGGTTTTAGCCGAACCACTACAGTATCTAGTCTTTTTTCCTTTCATTTTTTATTTTCTTTATCCCACTCAACCTCATATTCGTAATGTTGATACTTAATTATTTTTTTGTTGAGTTATATATATTTTAAAAAAAAATTACTATCCCTAAAAAGAATATAATGAAGAAATCCAGTCATTCAAGCACTTACCCCAAATTATTAGTAAAGAAGGTTGGACTTAAAAAATGTTGTGATGAATGTTCTCCAATTCTCTAACTGAGAGATTTCCTCTCCTCCTCAATGCATCAGTATGCAGTGTCTAGGTCAGTATCAGTATCTAGTGCTTTTATTTAAGAATAATTATCTCAGTCTCACAAATGCTGGCACGACACTTCCAATGTAGATTTTACAATTTGGCAAATCAACACAGTGCAAAGATTGAATGACTCCATGACTCCAATCTACCACATTTGTTGTGCGTGCTCTTGTAATTCATAAATTTTAGACAATAGAAGGTATACTGCAAATTTATCTCAGGGCTTCTGGTTGTTGCAATTTTAAAAAGTGTACATGAGTAAGGCTTTGGTAATAGTGGCAAAAAGTGTTACTAAATTATTAACAAATATAATTCATGAGCTAAATCATGACAACAGCAGCTAATATTTATGAAGGTTATTGTAAAGCCTTACAAATCTCAATCATCTTCACAAATCATTTGAAACTCTTGTATAATCCAATTTTGCAGCGTTTAACTTCAACAGAATTTTCAACAGTAGAAGGGAAAAGTATGTCGATGACTAGACTCAGAGACCAAGCATCTTGGCTATTACGAATGAATGCCAGTTTTTTTCTTTTCATACCTAATCAAGCAAGCACTGTAATGTCTTGCATCTTGGATTCATTGCTAGTTGTAGATCATAGATCTTGTCCGAGATTTTTTGTTTGTTTCTGGTTTAACAAATTTTTGCTTTTTTTTCATAGGTAATTTTTGTTTTTCTTTTCTAGGCCTGATGATGGAAGCGGCCCAAGAAGCAAAGCGATCTTTTCTATGAGAAGAATCTTCCTTACTTTAAAGTTTGTTGAAGAACATTGAGAAAAATAAATTCTCTGATGCAAGAAAAAAAAAAAAAAATATGCTAAGTGACTTTTGCGATGCAGAAACGTATGAAATACCTCACCAAAAATAACTTTAGATCACTAAATCATACTTTTTCACCTCTACACAGTCTCTCCGAACCATTTACAAAATGGTTATAACATAGCTTTTTTTGTCTCTTTTTAAGTATGCCCCCTTTTTTAAAGTCAATGTTCCTTTTCCAATATTCACTTAAAGTCAATGCACTTCTTTCATACTGAATTTTCGATTGCAGTAGAAAATTCAATTTAATGCATTCTGCCCTTTTCAATGAATATTGAGTTAGTGAATTCTTCTTAGCAGTTTAAAAGTCAGTAAAGAAAATAAATGCTGTATCATTTAGCATTTTGAGAAATAGACGCATCAACTCAGGGATTGATTTATTGTTTTCTTATTTTCTCTGTTTATTTAGTTACATCTCTGAAATAGAACCCACTCTCCAAGTCTTGTGGTTCTTTTTGCAGAAGCCTGTGGTATGTGTAATTTCAAACAACTTGACAGGACTCCCCCCTTGAACCTAGTTTTTTTTTGAAACCAACAATATTTTTTATTACTTTTTAGTGTACTTATCTAAAATACCTACTGTTCCAACTTTTTTAAGGAATTAAATTCATATGGATTATGTTCTGAAATTTTGTTGTTTTTTCCTTTCCTTTTTTAATTCCCTAATTATTTTCTCTTTTTTAAAAGGTAGGTACTCTACAATTTGACTCGTTTGTAGGTAACAACTCTTTTGTTACCTAAATTGTTTTAAAGATAAACTCGAAAAGAGCTTGTAGGTATAGGTAATAGTGTTTTAATGCAAGGGCTTGAAGTCCAAGAAAAAAGTGATACTTGGCAATATTTTACACTGCCTATGCATTCTCATCTAGTCCTTCCTTTTTCCTGACCATGTATCAAATTGAATTGAACGTTATTATGAATTATAGAGTCATTTCAGTTTCTTAAAGAAAAATCTGAAGCAATAGTTTTCTAAGTTGAATACCTACCAAAGTTCATTTTTTGTCTCATCATTTGAGCTTGAAGTTCATTTAAGTATGTCCTTAGCCTCCACTAATCGTTCTACTTCAAATGTAATTATTCACAGGAAACACCTTAACCCTTGGAGAAGAACATTAAAAAGAAGAGAGCAGGTACAGAATTCAATTTGCTGCTCACAATGTTTTTATTTTAAATTTTCTGAATGAACATTATGCTAGATTTTTGTGTGAAATTTTAAGGAAGAAAAAAAAATTTGCAAGCACTTAAGAAAAAAGAATCAACTAAAAATCAACAAATTTTAAATGGTACTTCCAAATAAACTTTTTGTATTTGGCAGAAAGTCAAATAGAGAGGAGATTTAACCCTTAGATGCCCAAACTGAGTCAAATTGACCTAAGATCCAAAAACGCTCGCCCTCTATGTTGTATGGAGCCGGTACTAACAAGCAGTAGATATAGGTCCACAAATACTTTGTAAAAAAAAGAATCAAACACCTAATTGAAAAAAAAACAACCGAATTTCAGTGAATTTTTTTTACAACTACCCCTAGAAATCACAAGCCGGGTCAAATCGACGGTAATACCTATTCGGGGGGAGGCACAGATGGCGGTCTAGGAAGGAGGGGGGCGGCGGCGGCTGAGAAAGCGCCAGTATGTTACCGTAAAGGTGAACATTTAAAAAAAAAAAAAAAAACAAAAAAAAAGATTTCTTACCCCCAAAAACACAGAATTAACATACAAACTACTCAAAAACCTATCAAAACCAATGTGTTTTAATTGGTCAATTTGGCCCGACTTGGAACTTTGCATGCAATTAGTCTTGAGGCTGCGCCTTCAGGTATTGAGGCTTGTTTCTCAAAATCCAAAATCGATAAAGACAATGACGAATGACCATGTACTGACTATTTATGACATCATTGTAATATTTCCAAGAAGGCTAATGAATACGGGTAGAGCTGCGGTAAGAGAGAGAAGTTGTCGACGGGCGAAAAAAAAAAAACCCGCAAGTTTAAAATTCGCGGGATAAATTTGAACATAATCAGCGCAAGTACCTCCAAATGATACGTCAGCGCATGCGCAGCGACTGCATTTCGTGGTCCAGTCGTTCAATGGATTCTCGGACCTTGAATATAATTGAGAATTCCGAGAAGCGTGCCTCAAACTTGTCCAAAATTCTTGAGAAAACCTTCAAATATTATCGTGAAGTGAATATTCGTGTGGTCAGAATTCCTTCCCATGTTCATTGTGTGCCCTGCTAAGTAATTTTCTAAAACCAACAATGTCTTATTAGTAGTTCCAACTAGGAAAAGATTCCTCTCCAGGAACAGTTGTCATTTCTGTCCAGAGGTTATGTCGATATGGCTTCTGTTTATGTTTTGATCAGGTAATAATATTGTTAAATTTTCCGCCCTTATTTCTTACTAATACTCAGAATCTTCCTTAATTTCCTCGTTAAACTACCAGCTGAACTGTTGGGCGAATTAGCGCTGATTAAATCGAGCTGTAAAGTTGTGTATCACATCCTGTTGCCTGTTGGAGCTCATCTCCTCCATATCTTCTAATGAATGCAATGCCAGAATACTCATATCCTGTTATTTTATGATGCCAGGCCTATTCGATTTTTGCACCCAGAATCAATTTTTGCAATATGACTAACCAGCTCATGCTTACTTGAGAGGTTGGGCAAAATGACTAATCCATTTTTCCCCAGCTCAATGACATACCTATACGAGGTATGATGTACATGGGATTGTCATTTCTCAGCATATCTATGTACTTCTAGAAACAGTGTAAGAAGAGAGATGGAAGCCTTTTTTTCATGAATTTGGAAAGAGATGTCACTACTTATTGATGGGTTTTCCATGAATCATAAATTTCAAGTGTTTAAGCATCCTACCTGGATTCGGAACATTTTTCCTGTGGTCGAAATGGTGCTACTCTTGGGTGTGGAGTAGCCTCTGAGTCTTTGTGTCTGAGTAAATTTTACAGTCGAAACTTGCTCATCAACTGTTATCAGCTTAAACCTACAGTAAGTAGTTTTATTGGACTACTGTTCCGCCCTCCTGCCCCTCTGATCATAATTTTCTAGTTTCTTCTGTCGCTCCTCCTGTTCTTGTTTCATTACATGTCTGATCAGTAGTCTTAGAATCTCCAGGATAGCTCCATCTTACACCTGTTTGTCTATTGTGCCTACAGTAATAGTATTTAAAGTGTGGTTATTGTGTGGCGATGATTATTTACAACTGTCAGGATAAATTTGAAATGATTCTAAAATTATGTCGGTTTTTAAGAAAGTACAGGGACGGTACTGAGGCATCTGAAACAATATAAGTAGGGTTTCGTCTCCAATAATTTGAAATTTTTGGTGAGATGCCATTAGGTATTGGTCCAGCAGGCCTATTAAGAAAACTTTGTCAGCACGTTAAGTATATGCAAGCCTAATCTTTACATGCAAAACGGATCCCAACTCTGTTGTCTTATGTTACAGACACAAAAATGTAATATCGGCTCG